TGGGCGATGCATGTTGTTACCATATCGTTGGCATTTGTCACATTTGGCCACAAAACTTTCTGCATCTTCTTCCATTTTTGGCCAATAATATCCTGCTCTAATTAGAGATTTTACCAATAATCTTCCTCCTGCGTGATTTCCACAGTGTCCCTCATGTACTTCTCTCATCACATACTTTGTTTGAGAAGGTCCGAGACACCTTGCTAAAGGTCCATCGAACATCTTTCGATATAGGTTGCCACGATCCAAACAATAACTGGTAGCTTTTCGTCGAAGTGCCTGAGTCTTTTTCTTATCTTCAGGTAGAATCCCGTACTGCAAAAAATTACCGATCTCGTTTCTCCAATCCCAGGTTAAATTATTGAAATTTACTTTGTTTTTGTCTTAATCGAGTGCCGAATGAAACAAATGTATTATGGAAGCATTTTCTTCATTTGTCACTTCTGCAGCAAATGCGAGATTAGCCAGCGCGTCTGCTTCAACATTTTCTTCCCTGGGTATTTGCACAATTTTCCAAGATTGGAATTGTTTGATTAAGTCTCATGACTTTGCCAAATATCGTTGCATCCTCGCTTCTCTAGCTATATAAGTCCCCTGCATTTGATTAACTACAAGTTGCGAGTCACTCTTGATGATAATCTGCACTATTCCGAGCTCTCCTGCCAATTCCAGACCTGCAATTACAGCTTCATATGCTGCTTTATTGTTAGTAATGGGATGACACTTTATTGCCTGCCTTATAGTTTCTCCCAAAGGTGGGATTAGAACAATGCCTAAACCCCATCCTTTAACATTCGAGGAGCCATCAGTAAATAGGGTCCATGTACCTCGATTAGACCCGTTGAATACCTGCAGTTTTTCTGCTTCTTGTACTATTCCTGGGTTGAAGTCTGCCACAAAATCTGCTAAAACCTATGATTTTATCGCAGTTCTAGGTTGATATATGATATCATATTCACTTAGTTCTATAGCCTACTTGGCTAATCTACCTGATAGTTCTTGCTTATGCAGTATGTTTCTTAAGGGGTAAGCGGTCACTACAGAGACAGGGTGACATTGAAAATAAGGCCTCAACTTTCTAGATGCCATGATTAGTGCTAAAGCAAGTTTTTCTAAATGAGGATATCGAGTTTCAACATCCAATAAATACTTGCTAATATAATAAAATGGAGATTGTTTAGCTTTGTCTTCTCGAACTAATACTGCACTTACCGCCATTTCTGACACAACGAGATAGATGAGTAGCCTTTCTCCATCCTTCGGTTTAGCTAGCAACAGTGGGTTTGACAAGTACGTTTTTAGATTTTTGAGTGCTTGTTGGCATTCCTCGGTCCACTCAAATTGCCTTTGTTTTTTCAACACTGAAAATAACTTCAAACTCTTCTCCAAAGATTTAGAAATAAACCTTCCTAATGCTGCTATGCTACCTATCAACCTCTGCACCTCTTTTTTGCTCGTGAGTATGTCCGGTATTTCTTCAATGGCTTTGATATGTGCAGGGTTTACTTCTATTCCTCGGTTAGAAATAAGGAAACCTAAAAACTTACCTGAAGACACGCCAAATGCACACTTTTTGGGATTTAACTTCATATTGAATTTGCGGAGAATCTGAAATGTATCTGACAAATGTTGGATGTGATCCCCTATCTGTGTTGACTTGACTAGCATGTCATCGATGTAAACTTCCATAGTTTTTTCCAGATGTTCTTGAAACATNTCCCGCCTGTGTTGACTTGACTAGCATGTCATTGATGTAGACTTCCATAGTTTTTCCAGGTGTTCTTGAAACATTTTCGTTACTAACCTCTGGTACGTGGCTCCAGCATTCTTTAGACCTAAAGGCATGACCTTATAACAGTAAGTCCTCCTGTTTGTAATAAAGGAAGTATTTTCCTCATCTAAAGGATCCATTTTTATCTTATTATACCCTGAATAGGCTTATAAAAAATGCAACAATTTATGTCCTGCAGTAGCATCAATTAGTTGATCTATGTGCGGTAAAGGAAAAGAATCTTTAGGGCAAGATTTATTCAAGTCAGTATAATCTACACAAACTCGCCATTTACCATTCTTCTTTGGTACTACTACAATATTAGCTAACCAATTAGGATATTTTACCTCTCGGATAGACCCGATTTTTAAAAGCTTTTGTACCTCATCCTAAATCACCTGGTTTTTGAAGGATCCTTGCTTCCTTTTCTTCTGTTTGACAGGTGGATATGTTGGATCTTCATTTAGCTTGTGGGTCATCACCTCATGTGGTATACCTGTCATATCTTTATGCGACCAAGCAAAGTAGTCTACGATTGCTTTTAAGAATTCAATTAACTTACCTTTCATCTCTGCACTCAGGTTGGCTCCGATGTAAACTTTTTTGTCCAGCCAATGTATAAACAACACCACTGCTTTGAGTTATTCAATAGTTGTTTTGATGTTTTCATTCACTTCTGGCTCTTGAATGATATCAGGTCTTTAATCTACATCTGTTTGCCCATCTCCAGTTGATGTTTGTGTTGCTAAATCCTTAACTGAATTCTGTAATTGCTAATTTTTGTCTGCAACATCATTCTTTATGCTTGAATCCGCCACTGAATTAATACTTCTAGAAGCCTGTTGATCACCATGGATTTGTCTAATTCCCCATTGCGAAGGGAACTTAATAACTTGATGTAAAGTAGATGGAACATCATCCATCTCGTGAATCCAAGGTCTGTCGAGAATTATGTTATATGCCATGTCCGTATCAATCACTTGAAATTTCGTATCTTTGACAACTTTTGCAAATGTGGCGAGCAATATTTCCTCTTTTGTAACAACGCTTGAATTGTCAAATCCAGTTAAGGTACGTGCTTTTGGCACCATTTTGTCATCAAATTGCATCTCGTTTACCACTCTTAAAAGAATGATATTTACAGAACTACCTGGATCAATCAAAACTCGTTCACATTAGTATCATGTACAAGTAAAGATATTACCAGTGCATCGTTGTGAGGGATCATCACGCCATCCGCGTCTGCATTATCAAACGTTATGTTGTCTTCTTCCAAAACTTGGCGAACTCACTTCCGTGGGTAACTGTGACTTTTGACGTCTTGTTTGCAGTTGTATACATCACACCTTTGACCTCCTTTCCTCTACTTATCACATTAACCGTTCTTTTTGGTGACGGAGGGTTTGATGGCTCTTGTCTATTCTTCATATGCACTTACTTTCCTTCTCACTAAAAAAATCGGTTAGATAACCCTGTTTTAACAAACGCTCTATTTCACCTTGTAGCAATCTGCAATCTGCTGTTTTATGACCGTGATCACTATGAAACTCGCACCAGAAATCTAGATTTCTTTTGCTAGGGTTCGATCTCATTTCTTTTGGCCACTGCACCTTATCTCCCATACTTCTTAAAACAGCTACCAACTCAGAAGTGCTAACACTGAAACTGTAATCACCAATCTTTGCCTTTGTATTAACAATGCTATCCCGCGTATCTCGTTCCTTTCCAAACTTGGATGATGAACCTGCATCTCTATCCCTTGATCTAGAACCATACCTCGGGTTTTCGTGTTTAGAACGTGAATCCCTTCCTGCTGGTCCCATATAAGATTTCGTACCTGTTCTTACCGGACCTTTTTTCAGTTTTTGGTCACAGTAAACTTGTTCTTTTATTTCCCCGTGACTGAGTGATAGTATCTTCTTCTATCCGCAGCTTCGTGTTATACCTGTTATAAACATCATTCCAAGCTGTAGCAGGGAATTCTCGTAAGCTTTCTTTGAGTCTCCTCATGTCTTCTGAGCTTTTTTCATTTAAGTTACTTGCAAACCCCATGGCCGCCCAATTTTCAGGTACACGTGGTAACATTATTCTTTCACGCTAAAATCTATCCACAACTTCCCTGAGTAGCTCTATATCTCCTTATTTTATTTTGAAGATGTCTTCCATCCTCTTTTCAACTTTTTGAATTCCCAAGTGTGCTTTTATAAATAAATCTGCAAGCTCAGCAAAAGAATCAATAGAATTTTTCTGTAAAAGAGAATACCATGTTAGTGCTTCTTTTATGAGTGTTTCGCCAAATTTTTTGACCAACACCGACTCAATTTCTTGCTTGGTTAAGTAGTTTACTTTCACGCCAGTTGTAAATGCAGTTACATGATCTCGTGGGTCGGTTGTTCCATCATACTTCGGTATAACGACATCTTAAACTTTTTTGGAATCGGCAAGGGAACGGCACTTGGCTTCCAGAACTGTTGAGAATATTTATCAATAACCACTCCTTTAATCACGGGTGGCACACCAGGTATCTTCTCTATGCGATCATTCTGCTCCTTGAGCTACTTCTGCAAAGTTAGTACTAAACTTTGTAAATCAGAATTATTTGGGGTACCTGACTTTCCATCGCGAGATTCGCTAGGAGCTCCTCCACTGCCTGAATTAGCAAGTCCCAAACGTTGGTTCTCTATGGTTGCAGTGTTGTTCAGAGGTGGAGTTAGTGGTATAGTTGGTTATCCACTAACAAAAGCTTGAAGTGCATTGTTGACGTGTTTTGCAATTAATTGTTTCAATGCATCTTCAGCAATTTGATCATCCCCTTGTTGATTATTCGCATGTGATGTTGATCTTTCAGGTGACCCTTCTCGGGAGTGTTGAGGAGAATTTTGGGGTAAAGGGATTGGAGTTTCATCCTCTTGTTGATTCTGTTGGTTCAGTTGGTTTTGTTGGTTGTTGTCGTTGGCATTTGACATGATTGTTTGACAGAATAATGAATTTGGAAAATGAAAAGATTATCGGATTTCCGGTAATGGAACCAATTTGTTTAACCAAAAAATGTATCTTTCGGTCATAGCCTATTTTTAGAAGAACTCGGGTTACTAATAACAAAGAAATTTCATACTTTTTCAACTATATGAAAGGAAAAGAACAAGAATAATTAAAGAAATAACTGAATGCAAAGTCAATATAGAGGAAAACAGAAAGTAAAGTAAATATATTCCAATATTGTCTCAGATGTCTTTACAAATGAAATTCTCTTCCCTTATATAGGAATTTACAAACATGATGTTTCCTCCCTTTTATGGCCGAAACATTATGAACATTAATAACATTTATGAACCGTTATAATTGGCAATTATAACTGTTTATGGAGATTCTGTAACGGCTCCAATTCTTCTTCCTCATTAATTAGAGGTTCGTGAATCTTTCCTTCTTACTGTCTTGATTCATTCAGCCTATATTTACTGAATGATTTAGACTCGAGCAACTGCATCCCTTCATCTCGTGAGTTATTTGCTCGTACTTCTTGTATCTCGTGCATCTTCTAATGCAATATTTTAGTTGTCACTTTCTTAGTGATCCACGTATCATGCCTTGTCAGCCACACATAATTCCATGTGTCATATTTATTTTCTACTAATACAGTTTACAAGTAATTGGTGAAGCCTATTTTGTCACTGTCTCACTACTCCATCATCCAGAGAACAAAGATACTTTGTCTCTATGCCTGCAAATTGGAGTTGGAAATTATGAGAAGCAGTTCAGATTTGACGGAAAACATCAATTAGCTAATATGATGTGGATGTTCTTTCAAAATACAACATTTTGTGGTCAAAAAGCTAATATGATGGCAAGACGTTATACTTCTGTCACCTACCTTATTTGCTATGTTGTTTGACAGCCAATCTAATCCTTCATACAGACCTTCACCAGAAGTCGCACAAGTGCTCTGGATGTACCTGCATAGAGATGCAAATCAAAGAGGCCATTAATCCATGAGCACCAAAAACCGTGAGAGAGAGGGGGAGAGGGGCAGGGGGAAAGAAGAAGAAGATCGGAAGGCAATATGGTCAAGTTTATTTACCAGTGACGCTGGCGGAGAGAGTGGAGGCCAAGCTTGTCAGTTATCTCTGCTGCGTTCATGGAATTTGGAAGATCTTGCTTGTTAGCAAACACTAGCAATACAGCCAGGGGCGGCCCAAGAAGATTGATAGCCTAAAGCCAATTTTTAATGTAGGACCTATTAGAAAGAAAAAAAAATTTATCTATATTTTTAATGGAAGTCTATTTTTCTATCTTTTTAAGATGTAAAGTTGTTAATAGTTACTTTTATAAATAATTTAATCTCTCCTAAGATATTATTGATCTTAGATAATTGAACTAGATTCAAGAAGTTTATAACTTGATATCAAAATAATTTTTGATGTTCTAATATACTTGTTGAAATGCTTGAAACCTGAGGGGGAAAAAAAGGAAAAAAAATGCGCAATATAGTTTTATTCAACGGTACTCTTCAACTCTTGTTTTTTTATAGAAAAAATAAAATATTTTTTTTTACAGAGAACAATATAACTTATCGAGAACTTAACTTTTTTGTAGAAATCAAGAAGAGAATATAAGAATGTAGTACCCGTTTTTTGATGAGAAAGATAAAAAATAAGACTTGGACTATTGAATTGCACTTTTTTAGTGAGAAATGTAAAAGGAGAATAATAATATAGGTACCTCACTAATGATGTCAATCGTCAAATATATATAATGAAAAGTTTTATATTCGCGACGACGGTTTAGGGGAAGTGATTCTCTTTCTCCTATTTTTGCTTAAACGGTTACTAAATTAAAAGTTATATTTACTTTTTATGAAATAATTTTTTTTTTAATGTTAACATACCCAATATATTTAGACCTTACCTCTAAAGATTGTTGTGAGATGTATATGATCCAACTTACCTTATATTGGATTCGAGTCATGTGGTTGAATTAAATCTTGTTAAAATGTGTTCTCTCTTTTACTAAGCCTTATGCGATACGAATCTTGATTAGTCGGGGGCTCAATACAAATACGAGTAGAAAACAATGAGAAAAATTTGGGGCCTTCAAAATTTGGGGGCCTAAAACCTTTGCTTTAGTGGCTTGACCCTTGGGCCGCCCCTGAATACAGCATCCCTCAATTCATTCTGCAAAGGTGAGGGCAATCTTAAAGCTGAGTCTCCTTATAGCTTGTTCCATTTAGGGAGGAATCAGGCACACTTTTGTTTCTCACCCCACAATGTGGGGAAATACTACTTGATGCGATAAATTGTTCCATCAAAATCAGAAGAAACACTTGAAATCTACCTCATTCAACTTCCTGTGAAGCTCATCCTTAGCTTCCACTACATGATCTCTGTCATTGCTATCAACCACAAAGATGAGTCCCAGGGTGTTTTGGAAGTAGTGTCTCCACAAAGGACGAATCTGCAGATCACATATACATTTCATATTAGTATCTTCACCCATATGATTAACTCTACCCTTAAAACTCCATGTAATTTGGGAGTTATTGTTTTGCCAATCACTATGACAATTGCAAGACAAAAAGCATCAAAATCTAGTTGGCTGGCACACAATCCTCTTTTTTGTTAGTTTATGAGACTCCTCTTTTTATAACATAACAAAAAGGAAAAGGCATAGTTTCTACAGTTAAAGATGCATTGTAATTTAAAGGAATCAACCAGTATAATAATCAAAAGGAGTGGCCATGCACATTCATACTGATTTAAACCCAAAACAATGTGATTTTGCTTGGAAAACGATGCTTCAACCAGCTTTTAAAAGTTAAAGCCCTAACAAAATTGACCCAAAGCAAATCGAGCCCTACCCACTTGCCACCTTTAGGCATGCAATTCATATTTTTATAAAATTTATTTGTTAAATTCTTCCCAAGACTAAACATCAAATAAAGATATGGATCTTCAATCAAAAGGAGTGGTATATTAAGCCTTTAAACCTGCCTGTACTTTTTTTGACTCCTCACTGGGGGATTAAACGAGCTTAAGCGAGGCAAGCTCTTGGTATGATATGCTCAGCTTGACTCATGCATTAGGCCAAAGCTTAACCTTGCCTTGAGATTCACCAAGCCTCAACTTTCCGGGCTCGAGGTTGAAGAAGAAGTCTTGAGCAAGGGAGGTTGAAACATTTAAAAGTAGATTTGATCGAGGCAAAAATAAGACAAAATATCAATTCTTTCTTTGATGCCACTTAATCAGAAGGAAGGATTGATGGTAAACTCAAAAAGAATGGCTCGACCTTGGAATTAACAGTTTGAGCTGGTTTAATCTGAACCAACCTGACAAGCTCGCTCCACTCATTTTCACCCTATGCCTCAAACATCAAACTCCTACCATGAATGACCAATCCAACCAAAGCGATTGATTTAACCTTGGTCCAAATCCAAGGCCATATACGTTTAACAACCGCATAGCACGGTAACAACTTACTTGAATTAAGGTACCCATCTACCATGTATGATTTTCTAAATTCCCATACTTCCCTTAAAGTTAAAGTCAATTTATTTTTCTTAACTGTTTTCAAAACAAACCAAAGGATGGAGAATGCTCAAAGGCTTCCAGATCACTTACCTTATCCTAACCCCCCAAACGGTAAAGCTAATGTTCTTGTATTCCACGGTCTCCACATTGAAACCTGAAATATAAGGTGTTGGCATCAATGACAAGCGTAAAGACAACAACAAGAATTGAGGTATATATTTATAAAAAACAAGCAGATAAATTCAAAAATTAATAAATTATAGGAGTAGAACAGAACCATCTCTTTTCTTGGTGGGATTACTATTGTAGAATGAAAAGTCATATTACGTTTGTTTCAAAAATTTTCGGCTTTTATAGTGAATGACTGTTATACACCTATAACAACATTTGACATTTAAATATATTTTGGCTGTTATAGACAAAAATTATCCAAAAACTAATTGTTTTTCTTTTATAATATTATATAAAAGATTAATAAAATATTTAAATTCAAAATCTCAAAAGATATAAATATTTCATGAATTAAATGCTAAAGAAATCTAATACATTATTAAAAAATTCTTAACTAAATGCACAAATATTTAAACTCTAAGGCATACAATTAAAAAATACGAATAGATTACGTTTACATATTATTGGTAATTGTCTAATATAAGAAATATTATGTGTACATCTTCAAATAAAAAAAGAATGATATGCATATCTTCAAAAAGTACAAATAAATCTTTTAAGTATCTTTTGGCATTTTTCTAATGCAAGATATATCATTTGTACATCTTTAGTTATAGAAATATTTGATGTGCATATATTCATGGAACATTGTGCTATCCTTAAAATAATATATATATAGCTATTATAAGTTGTACATTAAAGTATAAAATATTTGCTTAAATATTTAGAATTATTATTAGTAATAATCTTAGAAAATTTGCACGGTTGTTATAAAAGGGTAATTTTACAAAGAGTATACTGTCATAAAGATAATTGTTGCTGTTATAGGTAGAATGCTGTTATAGAGGGATAAAATATACTCCCTCCGTTTTAATTTATGTGAACCTATTTCTTTTTTTGTCCGTGCCAAAAAGAATGACCCCTTTCCTTATTTGGAAACAATTTACCTTTATGCAATGATTTATAGCCACACAAAATATATGTGCCTCATTTTACACCACAAGTTCAAAAGTCTTCTCTCTTTTCTTAAACTCCGTGCCCAATCAAATAGTTTCACATAAATTGAAACGGAGGGAGTAATATAAAAAATCAGTTCTGAGAAAAACTAGACTTTTACAATGAATGATTGTTATATAGAGATGTTATTATAAGAGATCCGACCGTATAACGAATAAATCTAAGAAGTAAACATGAATTCTGGTGAATTGTACAATGAAAAGCCATTTAGGCAGAGTTGATTGGCAAAACAACAAAAACGACAAATTGCAATCAACACACAATTCTTTGTTCAAGAAATTAAAACAATTAAGCCAATCAAAGAAAACTCAGATGCCCTCTTACAGAACTTCTAAAAATGAGAACAAACATCGGTATCATACCGATGGTAGGAATGTTGGTGACGATCTCTCCCAGTTTGATTTTGTACAAAATGGTCGTTTTACCAGCAGCATCAAGACCCACCATCAGTATGAGTATTCTTTCTTGGCGAAAAGCCGACTGAAAAGCTTGCCGAAAGACAGCCCCACTGTTTAATAAAAAATGTGATTCTTTTGTCAAAGTTAAAGACAAATAAAAATTCGGGCTACTCATAATCAGGAAACCAAAAAGAAATAATAGACTTTTTGAGAATGACAAATAAGCAGTAAATAGGTTTGTATTCCACTGTACTGTTTATGATATTCTCTGTCCTTACAAATGACAAGACCTCCTCCTTTTATAGTTGATTCTAAGTAAAGGAGTAATACCTTAGTCTTAATGAGACAATTATGAGCAATAAATGACATTAAATAAGATGTTACACAATCATTCCTATTTAATACCAATTCTCTAACGTATTGGGTATTTAATATTGAATTTGGACTCCTTTTCGTCATCATATCCATGTCTTCAATGCCTTCTGATCTCTTGGCTTTAAATGACCTAAATAGGTACGAAGCTTGTATTATTCGAATTGCCTCTCGTGCCTATTTAGCTTTCCTTTCCCCGTATCTGTTGTCACCCGTGCCTCTTAACTGATCATCATGTTTTGACCATTTGACCAGTCATCGTGTCATGTCACGTCACCTTCAATGTAAATTCAGTTTTTCCCCAATACAGATAGTCCCCCCACTTTCTATTTATTTATCAATTAAATATCTAGGAAGTGGATCTTCATAAAAAGAGAATTTTTGCCGTAATTAATACTATGACAGTACTGACGCTTCAATTGTCCCTTCTAATTAATACTTTGCATACATGTCACCTTTTATTTAATGATCTACACACGTGTCACTTTCTGATTGGTTCTGCAATTCTGCACCCTTTTTTCAAGGCTTCTTCATTCCCAGTATTCACGAAGTGATAGTTGCCTTTATTATAGGCTTTCCATCATTATACTTCTAAGTTTGACGATTGTCATTATAAACATATTTAACCCTCTTTCTTGTGATTCCCACTGTTAGGAAAGATTGTAATTGGAGAGGTAATCTTCGTATGATGATTCCTGCCCCAAACCAGAGAACTTCTTCTTTCAGAATTGGATTCTCTTTCGTTTATACTTATCCATTTACTTTGGGATTTAATCCTGCCATTGACCCCGTTATACTTGAATTTTGCCGCTTTTTCAAAATTTGATTAGCACAAGTAGGTCCTCTTGTTTGGAGACCTGTGGCTTGCTTAAGGTATTTGTCTACCAAAGCCAATGTTAATTTTACCTTTTCCCATCTTGTTCACCTATACCACCCCAAATTATTCCGCCATGGAGTTTTTACCTTGACTGCAAGAAGCAAGAAGGTTTTGGTAAACCCCGAAGATGACAAGGATCGAGGGTGGTATTGTCGTTACGTTGCTGTACGTACGGTGGATTTGTTGGGTGAAACAAACATTCCCTTCCCTGAGAAGTGGAATTTTGCACGTAAGTTTTTCTTTTTCTTACCGTATCTATTTTTTAAGAATTTTGATTTCTTTTCTAATCTCGTCTCTTTTTGGCTTTTTGTAGCAACCATAGGAGATATGGAACACGTTCCTAACTTCCGTGATTGGGTAGATTCAATTTTGAAGATTGCGCCTATGGAGGCGAGAACTTGGAAATCAATTTCTCTTTTGAATGGTTGGAAAGTGAAGACCCATGGTATGTATTTCCTTATGCTTTGCCGTATATTGAATTCTTTCTTATTTTAATTCTTTATCCCTCTTTTTATCAGGATTTGGTATCAGGGGTATGACAGCTGAGGTAGCCGTTGCCATTCGAGCGTCTTCAACCGCTTCACTTGATTTGGAAAAGACTCGGGCCACGCTACCAAAAAGAAAAGTTGTAGAAGAAAGTTCTGAGAATGAGGAAGAAGAGAATACCTCTTTGATAGCTAGGCCAAGAGCCAGGAGACGCGTCATTGATGGAGATGAAGTTGAAGATACTCCTGCTCGAGCCTCTATCTCCGAGCCTGTTCAAATCCTTTCTGATGAGGATACCACTCCAAGAGGCTCTAATGAATCAATTCGACGTCTCTTTGTTAGTGGTTTTGAGAGTGGAGAGTTTGGACCAGTTCTTGATGAAACTCCCCTCTCTTCTTCTATTCCCATTTCTTCTATTCCTTCTATTCCTTTGACAACCACGAGTATTTCTTTGCCTATTTTATCGACTCTTGTTTCCTTACCTGTTTTGGTTCCCATATCTGCTCCTACTGTCCCTGCTTTGACTCCCACAGCTCCCATTGTTTTTACCTCTTCTACTACTCCTCCTTCCATTGTTCCCCCTCCCTCTGTTCAGCATACAGAGGCGGGTTCTAGCAGCAGAGGCATGGCTATGAGAAGTGTTACTCTTGAAGTTCCTGCCAATCATAGCCTTTTGAGAAAGACTGGTGGAGCTGATGTTTGGCTCGAGCCTCTAATCGGAGATATTGAGAAGAAGAAGATGGAGAGCCACAGTTGCTTGACTCTGATGAATGACATAGTTCATTCTACCTTGAAGGTACTTCTCTTTTAACTTACAGTTTTTTTTATATCTCTCTATATTCTCACATTTGATGCCTTTCCCTTGTAGGCTAATCTTATTGGTACTGAGTTAATGGGAAGAATCTCCACTCTAGAGAAGAAGGATCGAGAGTCTGCGAAGGCTATCTCTGAGGCTAGGAGAATAGCCAAGGAAACCCAGCTTGAGGCAGCAAACTGGAAGGAGCAGTTTGAGAATGCTCAGGGGACCATAGAGGAGTTGCAAGAAAGTAGAAATCACCTGGAGCAGCAAAAGCGTGGTTTGACTTCTGAGCTAGCAATTGCCAAGGCTTCTTCAAGCCAATTTGAAAAAGATAAGGAGCTTTTGGAGTGCTCATTTTCAGAACAATTATCAAAGGCCAGTGAAGAAATCAGAGAGCTTAAGGCACTTGTGGAGAAGAAAGAAGAATATGCAGGGGAGTTAGTGCAAAGCTTGACTCAAGCTCAGGCTGACTTAAGGATCTCCTCTGACGAGATACGTGCTTTGAAGAGTTCTCATGCCTCCCTTGAAGCTTCCCTTGACTCCCACTTAGCTGAACACCAGATATTGAAGAACGATCTTGCTATGTGGGAAAGGGAGTATGGACTTCTTGAGGAGAACTTCAACATAGAGGTAAGTTGGGCTTTTCTAAAATCTCGCCGTGATGCTTTGATGGAAGCTACTCAAGAAAACTTTGATTTGCAATCTGAATTAGCCAAAGTCTTAGACACTATTGAAAAAAGCCAACAACCAGTTGATACTCCTTCTCCTGCACTTGGAACTCCTGGGGCAGAAGAGCTTTTAAATGAAGAAGTGGCTACTGCGGCAATTGGAGTTGCAATTCCGGCTCCCGAGGGTGAAACTTCTATGACACAGACCATGGAAGCTGAAGCTCCCGTGGCTCTTGCTTCCCTTGGTGATTTTAACACTCCAGGACCAGTTGAAACCGCTCTTATTTTTGCTCCCTCAGAAGTTGTTACCGTGCCTGTGACTGCCCCTGAAAATGAGATTGCAACTTTTGATGTTCCAACCCCTTCAGTGACTAGTTGAATGTATTTCAAACCTTACTGTTTTTTTAAATCGGTGGTGTTATCCCTTAGCAACTTTAAGGGATCTTTTGATGAAGTCCCCAGTTATCATAATGGGGCATTTGTAAAAAACAAATATTTTGCTGACTAAGTTTGTACTTAGTCTTTTATATTAAGAAGTTTTATCGGTACTTCTGTATATTCTATTCTTGCCTATTTATCTAGGACTTATAGAATAGCTTAGCATTTTTATCCTTTGAAAATGCTTTATGATTCTTCTCATGGATTATCAACATGAGGCTTATAAAAGAGGGCCCTTTTATTTTATCGACACTTAATGAAGAAGACGTCTCAACTTCATAATAGTGTTATAATACGATGAAAGAAATAAGAATACACATGTTTTGTATGAAACAACTTTGACAAATTTTTATTCATGAACTTTAACAAGTTTTTTGACTATTACATGTATTAAAATACATCTATAACTCCCTCGTAACTGTTTTTCTTGTAACAGATTTTTACATAATATAAAATAAACAAGGTTTTTCTTCATAACCTGTTTCAGTACATAGTCATGACCCTATCTTTATATGAAGAGTTTGAGAGGTGACTTCGTTTATGAGTTTGAGAGATGACTCTTTTGTTCTCATGGGAAAAATATTATGATGAATGTCTTGTGTTTGTTGAACACGATGATGAATGCTGAAGACTTCGTAACCTTTTCTAAACACTTGCCTCTTTGTGGCCGACTTTTGTTCGATATCCATATCTATTTTTCTACACATATCTGTGTATAATATGTAGTCCCCCAAGTGTTTGAGCAGTGAAGTATGAAGCCTCAAGCACTTGTTTATTTCTTTCAATTTAGTCCTTTTCCTAAAAAAGAAAAATATACGGGACTCGGAGGTGCGATTATAGATGAAGCCTGCCTAACTCGTGTGTATTTCCATCAGATTAATTGTAACCCTGGGCTGGGAATTTTAGAGTACTCCATTTTGCCTTGCAGGTCGTGACTCATCATTTGGAACGAGTTAGGGTTTTTGCCTAGCATCTAAAATTGTTAGTAAAACTTTAATAATTCAAAAGAAAAATAACATGGCGATACCTGACCGTGGGTACTTTCTCAGAAGTAATATCTCTTTAAATGGACGACATTCCAATGCGAGGGTAAAACTTTGTCTTCCATTGTCTCCAACTCGTATGCTCCTTTACCCGCAATGTCATGAACTCTGTATGGTCCTTCCCACGTTGGACTTAGCTTTCCTGAATTAGCAGCCTTTGCAGATTGGAACACCTTTTTAAGCACAAAGTCCCCAATTTTGAAAAATCTTAGGCGTGCTTTCCTATTGTAATATCGTTCAATTACTTGCTTTTGTGCTGCCATTCTTATCAATGCAGCTTCTCTTTTTCCTTCAAGCAAATCAA